ATTTACTATATTTGTTCCTTTTTTTTAATCTTATATATTAATTTATAAAAATTATATATAAATATAATAAATATAATATAATATATAATATTATTATAAATTATATGAAATTAATATTATTAATATTAATATATATATATATTATATAATATTATTGGGTTGGCAAGAAAGTAATATCTCACATTAAAAAACCTAAATTACTTTCTTGCCAACACTAATAATATTTCACACTAGAAAACTGAAATGACTTTATTGCCAACCCAATATAATAATATAATTAAATAATTAAATAATAAACGTTAGAAATATATATATATATATATATGTTGAAATGTTTGTTGACTTGAAATATATTCATAGTAGTTGTAATAAGACTGTTAAAATAAAGTAAAGCTTGAGACGTCGGGATACTTGAAATTGGATTTAAATGGTTCTCAGTTTGTTTTGAACAAAAATCCTTCAAACGAATAGGAAAAAGATTCGTCGTAGTCGTCGTCGTAGTCGTCGTCGTAGTCGTCGTAGTCGTAGTTGTCGGTAGTCGTCGTTTGGTATACCATTACACGGTCCCTTACCCTTTCTCCTGAATTACGAGATCTCTATAGAATTCTTTTTCAAGAAAAATGTTCCCAAATTTGCAATTCAAATATAGGAACAAGAGGACGAGTTCTCTCTTCTCTTCTCTTCTCTTCTCTTTACTTTCTTTTTCTTTTTCTTTTTTTCTCTTTTTCCGGACGTATATTCCTTGTCCTTGATTTTGTATTTTATTTTTCTTTCGTTTGTTACTCGCGTCCGTCATTTTATTACTGAAAAGGTCCATTAAAGAAAAGATACTTTAAAAATCCATAAGCAAAACATATCTTTTCGTGTCTAACTATCTCATTACACATTTTATATCTGTATTTTCTCTATTTTTTTTTTCTTTTTGTGTTTCCTTTATTTTCTCTTTTTATTGTAGTACTTTTTCACGATCCTTGACGTTCCTTTTAATCCGGAAAATAATTCGAGTTTTTATTTATTCAAATTTTTTATAATACTACTACGAACATTGGGTGGGCAGTACTGTTTCAAAAGGAACAAAGTTTAACTTGAATTTAATTATATACATAATAACATTATATATAATATTATTATAATATAATATTATAATAAATTATATATAATTTATTAACTAAATTTATAAATTTAATATATTTAATAATATATATTAATATAATAAATAATAGAAGTAATTTCGGTTTTCTAGTTAATATTACTTTCTTGCTAACCCAATAATATTAAATACTATATATATTATTATATAATTTATATATATTATATAATATTATATAATATTAAAATAATATA